CTTCTTCTTCTGCAATATGCACAAGGATTTTATCCGCTACCATCAGCACCGACCCCTTCAAACGCCTGCTCAAACTCCTTCTCCCACCACCCTGTCGCCAGCGTTTTAGCTGCAGATGCCAAAATAATGGAGCTAAATAAGGTCGATGCCCTCAGTCATCGGGCAACCTTACTACGACAGTAACGCTTCAAGGCGGGAGCCTAGGGAGTCTACACTTTTAATGAAAGTGAGGTTCGGGTTACCTGCAAACTCAGCTTGAGGGAGCTGTGGGTCGGGAAACTGCTGGATGAAGAAGCTGCTCCCTCGGTCAATGCGTACACAAAGCCGCTACAAGATCTGAAACGTATCGTCGATCACAGGGAAAAATTTGTACGCACAGCCTGCCCTCACCAAGATGGTGCAAGGCACTCGGTTCAAAAAGTTCGAGCCGTACCTCATGCAATGGAGCTTGATTTCTCTGCCCTTGTATTGGTATAGCACGGGCATCGCCCCTTCTAATAGCAAGTTGCTCTCCGTAATCAATCGTTATGTGGACGGAAAATCTCCATAACCCAATTTCAGGTCGAGGTTGAGATGGTGTCCAACTTTGCGTAGTCCCCCTTGCATTGTGAAACGATGGCATCCACGAGGTGCTCAAAAACTGGCAAGCACCCCGCAGTGACATTGCTGTACGACTTTGATCCCACACTCCTCCCTATAACAAGCAACCCTGATTTGAAAAAAGTGACAGAACTTTCCCGCCAACCTAATATAATGCCATTCTCGTATGGTTTATATACCCAAGTATGAGGTAGCGATAAATTTGGGGCGCTTATCCGCAGTTATGATTTTTGCAAAATATATGACACTATATGACAATACTGAAACACCGGTGGCTAGTTATTCCACAGATCCGTAACAAGACCTTTAGCAATTCGCTCAAGAGGATCTTTCCGATGGACTATCTCGTAACTCATTTCAAAAGATCCATGCATAAACCACTGCAGAATGGAGTTCTGAAAACTGAATTTCCAGTAGCACAACTGGACCCATTCGAAAACGAAACCAGTTGTTCTCACCAGGTGGTGCGCTGTTCCCACCAATGAAGTCTGCCAAATTACCATGGAACTTCGAAGGGAGACCTTGGGCGATCGGTTGAGTCTGTAATGGTTAATTCACATTACGTAAATATCGAAATTTACCTGCATTTCGCAAGCTACTTATGAGCAGGTAAAGTTTGTAACGGTGCAGTGCGTTGGGAAGTTGATGCAGAGTTGTGAATGATAAGCGAGGAATCATGTAAAGCGAAACGTGTCTTGATGGTCAGAGGTAGGGTTCTCGCTCCACAGGCACAGCATGATTGTTCGGTTCACGTAAGCATGGCAATCTTCGCTTCATTGATTTTTTTTACCATATTTTTCGACGCACACCGAATACGTAGTGACTTTGCAACAAAATGCGGCACATCAAATTGTTAAATACCGCGTGTCATTGGTTTATATTCGTTCACCATGCCTTTCTCTCCAGCAACGGTAGTCTCCATACTCCTGGCAGAATTCGGATACTGAAGGACAACGATGCAGCTACTCGGTAGGAGAGGAAAATCTCCACAAGGTTTGCTGCTGTACTGCTACTGTAATATAACCCGCTTTATAACAGTACTTCAAAAATTTCAAAAATCTCGGGGCGCAAAACATCCGGTACACTAGCGATAGCATGTCCCTCTCGGTCATACTGAATGCTAGAATGTTCACCACCACCCGGGCCCTAATCCGTTTCATAACATTTTCCATATTGCCGAAGAAGAACACATCCAGAGATTGTATAAGCGATGTAGCGTCGGCTGAGATGATGTGAACCTTACCTTGCAGCCGTAAAGATGTGAGTTCCTTGGTCATTATATGTGTCGTACTCGCTCTAACCACAAGATTTGCTGCCTCGGAATGCTTCCTCTTTCTCTTGCAAAACCACGTGTTGTTTCGCCCCTAGTCTGCCGTTAACATAAAGAAGTGGAAGCACAGTGTACGAGTGCGTCATAGCCGTCCTGTTTTCGACGATTCGTTGAGCCTAGAAGTTGGTGTGGCAATTTTGTTTAACTGACGACTTCAACGAAATCATAGGCTCGTCTTTTTGATTCCCACTGGTGCCAGTGATAGTGCTGAGAGTCATTTCCTTGACAAAGTCCGACTGGTCGCCATTGCAAAAACATGCTAGTGGCCTACTTCTCCTTCCCCTTTTGATGAAGTTAACAAACTCTGTAGACAGTGAATGCAATGGAGACATGCGAATTCAAGCTTTCGTCGGTTTCTGGTCCACTTTCAAATGCGACGCAATTGCCAGTACAGCAGCAAAGCTTTCGGAGATTCTCCTCTCCTCCCAAGAGCTGCATCGTTGTCCTTCAGTATCCGAATCCTGCCCAGAGTATGGAGACTACCTTTGCTGGAGAGAAAAGCATGGTGAACGAATATAAACCGACACGCGGCATTGAACAATTTGATGCGCCGCATTTTGTTGCAAAGTCGCTATGTATTTGGTGTGGGTCGAAAAATATGGTAAAAAAAAACCAATGAAGCAAAGATTGCCATGCTTACGTGAACCGAACAATCATGCTGTGCCTGTGGAGCGAGAACCCTACCGCTAAGCCACCAAGACACGTTTCGCTGTACGTAATTCCTCGCTTATCATTCACAACTCTGCATCAACTTCCCAACGCACTGCACCGTTACAAACTTTACTTGCTCATAAGTAGCTTGCGAAATGCAGGTAGCAATTTCAATATCTACATTTGTAAGTAACATTACAGACTCAACCGACTACCAAGGTCTCCATTCGAACTTTCATGGTAATCTGACGGAGTTCCCTGGTGGGAACAACGGACCACCTGGTGAGAACACCTTTAGGCGGTTTGTGGCATGTTGGAGTCGGAAAATTAGTGGGCGAACTGAAGTGGGGATATGAATTTGATTGAATTTTTGTGCAACAAAATAGTGAATAACTTTTTTTCCGGTGTTCGAGGTTAAATTCTTCTTCCGAATCGCTGCAAGGAGCAGAAGCATTTTTGGCACCTGAAAAAATTGTCGTGGAACTGCATAAAACTCAAAAAATGTGAACATTATGGTGCCTTGTGGGCACTGAATTTAGTCGTTACGCGGAAAAATTGCAGCCCGTACATCGTGTTTGAAGGCAGTTACTGTTATCCATTGGTGACAATGGTAGGCACAGCAGACTAAAATTTGAAATGAATTGGTCTGGTGAGAAAAAAATTATGGGCGAAAAAGCCTTAGACCTAATAGAGCGCTACGTAGAGTAGCGCTTTGAGCGCTACTCTACGTTAGTACCAGTTCCATTTTTCTAAATGTGTGGAGGAGTACCCGCTTTACACGCAGAAGGAGGATCGGCTACAAAAAGTGTACGTCGAGTTACAAATGCATTTTTGTTATTATTCGTATAGGAACATGCATATCTGAGTATTATTTCACTATGTTGCATAATCCCAAGAACATGACTTGCTTGAGAGTAGGAAAAATACTGAAATCCGATGTGCTCTGAAAAGTCTCACATAAAAACACGCTACTGAAAAGATCACACAAAAAAAATGCATACGAGGAATCTTTTATTGCATAGAATTATGGGAAAAATACTGCATGGTAACTTCACAGTCCAATGGCTGGGTAGTATATGAGATGAGAAACACCAGAATATAACCACGAAAGTGTCCAAGAAATAAAGAAAAGAACAGGTGGCGACATTTACAGAAGTCGTTGAACGTAAAAAAGTCTTTTGCAAGGCAATGGTTTCAAATTACCGTGGAATCTTGAATGAAGACCTAGGTACCGATAGTCCTGAATGCTGACTGCGATATGCAGAGTGAAAGTACCGCGGGGATCACCCAAACCAATTCTGCGGCGCTATAGTTTGCTGTAAATGCAGTGTTGGCATGTGAGAACTGTGGAGAGGAGGGAAACCAGTGACACCGTGGCCTAGTGATAGCGGTCTCGGTAGCTGGTGGAGGAAATGGGTTCGCTACACGTCGTCGCGAATTTTTTTGCATTGTCCCCGAAAAGAGGTTTTTCCTATTTCCGACACTCGTCCGAGTTAACGATCCAGCAGAGCGATTAGATCAAGTATCTAACGTGGCAGGTCAAATACAGCTTTGGTCACCGTCTACCCTTCGCAATAGCCACTACCTATTCGACAATTCGAGGTCTGATCAAAGTGTCAGTCCAAAAGCTTCCTCATGGGGTAGTCTGATCTCCGAATGAGGGTGTCACATTTGTTTGACGTCGAAACGATCGGTTCTCTCACAACAAGTGCTGACGACAGCAAGGTGCTTAGAGCTTCTGTCTCTGAGGAGAGCGTTTTCGGGCTGAATGAACGTCGTTTTCGCACCCTATAAGTTACACTACCACTGGATACTGGATTTCAGCAATTTAGGTGTTTAACAGTGACTTGGCGCCAGTGCCTGTCCAGCGTGGCGCAGGCTAAGGCGTTTTCTCGTCGAACAAATGTGATATTTGTATTAAAAACCCTCTTTCTCGAGGAACAACCCGAAGGTCAATTGTCGAATAGGTATGAGGGTTGCAAGGGGTAGATAGTGACCAGTCCCAATATTGATCTGCTACGTCGACCACTCAACCTACTCGTTTTTTAGGTCACTAACTCGGAGGAATGCCGAAAATTGTAGCGAAAGAACTTATCGAAGACGATACAAAAGTTTTCGCGTCAAAAGGGAGCGAACTTATTTGCTCTCACCTGTGAAACGAGGTCGCTTCCACAATGCCACGACTGGCATTGCATGATGCACTGTTCACATGCCAACACTGCATTCACAGGAAACCATAGCCACCCCTCGTTTGGGAGATCCCCGCACCATGTTTCAGTCTGCATATTCGTGATCAGCATTGGAGACTGTCGATGTCCACCACATCGAGGTCTCCATTCAAAACTCCATTTTCAAGATTTAAAACCTCTCCCTTGTCAGGCAAGGTAGTAGGCGCAACACCCAAACGAGTTTCCAATGCTCATGCTTTGAAAATTTTGATGACGTCTAAAATTGAGGCACGACAGAGAGGGCAAAGACCGGATGATCGGTAGGTTTGCACTGCACAGTCATAACACATACAGGAATGGCCACACTTGTATAAGGCGCTATTCACACTAGCCGACATACACACCTGTGAAAAAGCAGCTGACTCTGATCTCCAAGAAATGATAAGAGCCGACAAACACTTACCGTACACTCGTCGAGCTCGCTTCCCTGAGCTACATCGCCACTTTCGCAAGGTTTGCAGTCCATGCTCAAGGCTGCACTTCGGGCACGCGTAAATGTCAGGCTTAGATTTTGAGGAATCGGTAAAAACGAAGAACAAGATGACGACAGCAATTCACGCGTGGCGCCCGACGGCCTTCCAAACAACGGCTCCTCCAAAAAAAAAGCCAGTTTTGCACAAGAACGCAACCTTATTTCAGATGGTAATTTTAAGGATATCTCAGTAAAACAACAGGACCCAAATCACGTACCATTGCGGTGTCAGCGCTGTGAAATGTTGATGATGTTGATAGGGTTGCCGGAATGTTCGCAACAGCAGTGGGTGTAGGCGGAGGAGGGCGAGATGGCGGTACAGGAAGCGGTCCAAGCGTTGGTGTCAAAAAACGATGGACAATCAATCATTGATAGATTGAGCAAGATCCACTGTTAGAAAAAAAATGCAAGTACCAGTCTTGGAGCCAACGCCGGAGGATGGGGAAGACCCGTGTTTGTATCGGCGAGCAAGTCGTCGATGGTGCGCCGCATCATCATTTCATTGGCAGCCACTCTTGGCGGGAGAGCACCATGTCCTGCATGAGCTAAAAAGGAATACAACAGATAGTTGCATCAGTAATAGAAATTAACAACTAGAAGTAAGCTTGAATTTGTAGTTAAAAACAAGTCAAAATCCAGCATCTTCACTAATTCAGTTTGTCGTATTCTAGCATCTGCACTCATTCATTTTGTTTGAAAGTTAAAATAGTCAAACGAGGTACAATAGTTCTGTAGGGTGAGGAGCTCGACATTCGTAGGAAAGGTTCCCATGTTGAGCAGCCATGCCCCAGACGATGGGTAGAATTGAGCAAATCAGGGCCGCGGTGACGGTAGCAAAAGAGGTCTTACAAACGGGGTCATTCGCGCCAGGGCTCAACTAACTCAACGTGGCGATGCTCCGGCGCTTCAAACCTAGGGAATACTCTGCCTGTTCGCGCGCGATGTCGCGCCACGAATGTCCGAACTATACCCCCAGGCAAGCTATCTATCTTTTATCGAGCACACATTTTTGGGGCCCAGTCATCCTGAACGCCCTCTGCATTAAGTCTCAGTGAGTACAACAAAAGCATGAAAACAGAAGCTGACAAGGAAAGGATGGTTGGTCGAAGTGGCCTTTTGAAATGAGATGTATACTGCCCGGTGGGCCCTTGAACGCTGATTACAGATCTGATCTCCATTTCTTCTGAACGATTCCCTGGACAAAGCTATGCAGGAATTTTGACCAGGTCACATCGATTTCCAGCATACATTTGAGGCACAGCAAAACCCCCAAATTTGCTAAAATCTGGAATTACAGGTGGTCTGGTGCTCTGGAAATCATCACTGTAGGTATTTTTAATAAAAATGTCTTGTTCACATTCTGGAGGGGCAAGGTGTGCAGGACCTGCAACTCCCTTGGCGAGCGTTTTTACGCCGAGCAAGTGTGATATTCGTGTTCCGGGGCTCAAATTAGCCCTAGAGACAAGTTTTCAGGTGAATCTGAGATTTCGACCTATTTTCGATACAGTGGGGTAACCATGGGCAACGAATTCCTTAAGGTCGCTGGCACTATCGCCTATCAAAATCTCTGTGAGCCATGCAACTTTTCCGCTGATCTCAGTCCTCATTGGTTACTGACGGCCCTGATCACAAACATGACATTCACTTCTGCGGCTTCCATGCCATTTGGAATCAGTTTGGTAGCACAACACAACGTAACGAATAATGCCGCCGGAACCAACAATCAAGGGTGTCCTTAAAGAGTGTTCCAGAATGGCTCCATTCCTTCAGAAACAACATTTTCGATAAGATCACGTCTCCTAACCCCGCAAAAGTGCTTTTAGGATGTGCAGGGAGAATTTTTGAGAAAATGCAAAACCACAACTCCAGGAATTATCCGAACCCTTTTGAATTTGAAACGCCTATTCAATATACATTCTCTCCAAATGTCATAGAACCCTGTAACACAGCAGAGTGCAAGGAAATTTTTTTTATCCGGTGTTACCATTGCGAGAAACTTTTTTGCTTCCAACACTTTGTTCTGGATTATCACATTTGTTCTTGAATCACAAAACTTGTTTGTACCCACTATATGAGCAAAATAAATCAGTAGAAGTGTTCACAGGCGAGAGTGGTTCAGTTTTCCAAGAAAAGCCCTATTCATGGCATGACAAGGTTCCCTGATTATGCTAGGCTTGTTAAAACTTCCAGAGAGCACTGCTGAAACAATGCAAAGAGCACGTCCATCAAGAACTCGAACCTCTGACTTCGTATACTTGAGTCCGGCATACTACCCACTAGGCTACCGAGGCACACTGTTTTGTGACTCACGTCTTGTTTGTATATCAAGCTCTACTGTGCTCCGTACAACAACCTCCTGCATATCTCTGCTCAAAGAATCGTTCAGCAGATGTGGAAAGCAGATTTGAAATCAGCGTCCGAAGACGCATCAGAGAGTATACATCTTGTTTCAAATGACCACTTCGACCAGCCATCCTTTCCTTGTGAGCAATAAAAGCAAAAGAAAATATTCACCACTCTCTTCTCCATAATCATCGTCGAAAAAACTAGGTACTAGAGTCGCTCCATTAGCTTCATCTCTCACTGAAAATCTGCTCATCCAAACAATGAAATATTACAGTGAATGAATAAAGGAAAAGCCTTAGACCTCGAAATCTCATCTGAAAGACTCGAAATTCGTACGCACTGTTACCCAGCTGGCCTTAACCCATTGCGTACCGTGGTGTTTTCTCGAAAACGGGCGCCTGTGACCAACGCCTTTTTGTCGTCGCGACTCGTGGCGCGCCCAATATAAACAAGTGTGATTTTTACCCTACACATATGACATAAAAATATTGCATATACTTCGTATTATACATTATTGTTGAATCCATGACTATGATAATTAGAACTGGATAATACAACGTGATAAAAGTGATGGACTAAAACTAGCGAAAGTGGACAAAAAGGTTGGTGATTTCAAGAAGGATTGGAAATGGGATGTAATATGTTTATAAGTAGTTGAGCTTTACTATTTTGCTACTTTTTAATGGAATCACAGCCAGAGTTTCGGCTTGACTGGTTACTAAAAAATAAACAAAGGATCTAGTAGCTGAATAATTTCCCGAAAAATTTCGATAACATAGCTCCAGTATGGTGCCGCGATTTCCCACATATATATTTCTTTCTGGGAGACTTCACAAATATAGTGACATTCCTTGAGTCATCTAGCAATGCTAAATAAGTTCAAACGAAGCGTGCTGCACCATGTGTAGCACGTGGCCATACAGATGCAAACGGGCGTGTACGCAATGGGTTAAATTGGGATGTGATGGGCAGTAATTACGTTCTATTCTAACAAGGAAAGTCCAGCAGGTCAATCCTGCCGTTTGCGATGAAATGTATTGGGTTGGTCCCTAAGTAATGGCGTTTCTTTCTCACTCAAAACATCGTACCAAAAATGAAACCTTTTGCCTCTGAGTTATAGAATGTTCTGCGAAAGTTCTTACTTCATGCGGTAGACGAACTGGAGGACAGTCGACAAAGCTGAGCATTTTAGACAGCCTCTCTCTTCTACCTCGCACTAAAAAGCTAAAACTGCACAGGCCTGCGTGTTAAGTACACCCTCTGTACACACTCTGTATATGGTCGAGAAACTTTTTCAGAAGTGCTTGTAAGGGCTCCAGCAACTCAAAGATTTCAACTTTGACCTAACAAGCAAGCATCGAATTCAATGCCCTTTTGTCCAACTAAGAGCTTACTGGACCACTTTATTCATAGGGATTCATACCAAGCATGGAGAATTGTTGGAAGATAAAATGCCTCGTTATCGTAATCAAGCACCACCCTCAGTTTATGTTTGATCTTCAAAAAATAGTGGGTAGGTTCTGCAGTCAATCTCCGAGAGAGCGCCCCGTGCAATGCACATTTACAAGGTCCGAATTCCCAGCTCTTGATCGCTTGAACTAACTTCAAGCTGCCATAAGAAGCACCTTTCATCGATCATATATACCATTTCTTTCTAAATTCACCACTTTTCAAAGCAAATTCACCAATTTTCAAAGCAAATTCACTACTTTTTAAACTAAATTCACCACTCTTCTTAGACCACGCAGTTCACCAACCAAATTACCCCAGACACCACCGCGAACCTTGCCCCGTCGGCCACGCCTATTTGTTAACGCGGACATAGATTTTCAACACATGACTGACTCCGGTCTTTGATTCTTTGAAGTTTGTTGCGAACTTCAAATCTTGATAACTTTTTCAATTTTTAATTTCACATCCACTCTTCGCAACTCGTAAACGCGCATTCATGCACCGGCAATTTAGGCTCCGCCCCTTTGGCCGCGCCCACTTGCTGTTTGCGGAATTATGATATTTTTTTTCAAAATTTTTGCATTTTTGGACTGCTCCATGAGGCCCCGCCCACTGAGAGAGACTCCGCCCACTTCGAAGAAGCTGCGCCCGAGTGACGGACGAGGCCCTAGCATGCAAGCCAAGGCTCTATACTGCCAATCTGCGCCATTTTTGAAAAGTGGGCGCGACTTCTTCGAGGTGGGGAGCCTCTCTCAGTGGGCGGGGCCTCGTGGGGCAGTCCAAAAATACAAAAATTTTGAAAAAAACATATCAAGATTCCGCCAAAAGCAAGTGGGTGTGGCCAAGGGGGAGCCTTAACTGCCGAAGCATGAATGCGCGGTTACGAGTAGCTTCGCTGTACAAAGAGTAGATGTGAAATTGAAAAGCTGAAAAAGTTATGAAATTTCGACTTCGAAGTTTGCAACAACCCTTCAAAGACAGGGCGGAGTCGGCCATGTGTTGAAAATCTATGTCCGCGCTGACAAGCAGGCGTGACAGTCGAGGCAAGGTTCGCAGTGGTGTCTGGCGCTATCTGGTTGTCTGAAAAGTGGTGAATTGGTTCGAAAAGTGGTGAATTTGGTTTGAAAAGTGGTGAATTTGCTTTGAAGAGTGGTCAATTTGCTTTGAAGAGTGGTCAGTTTGCTTTGAAAAAGGGTGATTTGAAGTGAAATGGTATATATCACGAGTTTTGAGCATCTTCTGTGATTTGAGAGCCGAGATAAATTGCAAAAAGTTGATGTCAAAAACTCACTTTTGAGCCGACCCGATACTCCATTTCAGTGAAATAAAAATCGACAAAAATCAAGAAATAGTAGGACAGCAATTGCCCTATCTCTGGATCGGAAAATTATACATAAAATGGCGGGTGATACGTTGGTAATGATTCTTACTTTCAATATAAAATTTGTGTAGGAAAAAACGCCATTCCTCATAGGCCAACCCAATGCATAGATAGCCGCTGGACTCAAATCTTTTCTCGGAATTTGTGGAACGATTCTATGGATGGAGTCACGAACCATTCATTCGCTGCTGTGTGCGCTCAAGGCCGGAATGCTAAATGATTGCGCAAAGCAGCCAGTGGTGTGGTGTATAAGAGTACTGCTTCAGATGGACGAGATCATATGTTGAAATCCTTGACTGTTGCAAATTTTTGCTTTTGTTCAACACATTGCGCGCATCTCCGATTCATTTTATCATTTTCTATCAGTTTCATCTAAAATTTCCTACCTCTTTGCGTCGCTTACGTAGAACAAAACCTCTCGGAACCAACAACTTTTTCTGACAACATATAATATAAAGGCAAGTCAAACTAATCGAATAACACACCGCCCAGAGACAAATTCGTGACGTGTGTACCATATGTGTCACGCGGTAAGTAACGCGTTAAAACACTTCAAATGAGTCCCAAAACACTTCTGTTTAGCTAACTGAAAGTTCTTTAAGTATCTGACATTAGGAGGAAGCGAATCCCCCAAACCTTATCCCCTTTGAGAATTTCTGTTATGAGGACATTCGGCCACTAAAGGGTTCTTATGATTCAAGCGCACATGTGGTACTCTTCCACTGATAAAATCAAAACGAGTTCTGCCACTGAGCACGGCGAATAAAGAAGTACTTCCAAAAGCCTAAAACTACTGATATAATTTTTCAGTACATCAACAGGACTCTTCCCCGTCTTCTATATCTAATTTATTGTGCTCGCCTGGATTCCTTCTTACAATGTTTTTATATTAGGCTGCATACTTCATGAGAGCACATCCTGGTGAATTTCAAACACCTCTGCATTTCATTGCTGTAATGCGTTCCCTCTGGATCGATGTAGAACTGTAACTCGGTAACTAGGTAAATTAGCTAAACAGAAGTGTATGGGAGTCATATAAAGTGTTTTGAAGATGAGCAAAGATTCAAGGGTTTTAGCATGACCTCGAACCTCTGAAGCAACACGCCTACCCTTTACACCACCGGCTTGCTGCGACCTATTATCGTCCCGTGCTTGAGCGAATGCAAGGAAGTAATGGTCCGCAACTCCATTCAGGAATCGTTCCGAGAACTCTGGGGCCAGATTTGAGATCAGCGGCTCAAGACACGTCCATCTATACACATCTCATTGCAAATGGCCGGATCGACATTTTGGGAGAGGAATTCAGTGTTTACTGGAAGAGTTCAGAGGAATCCTGGCTCTGTACTGCTGTAGAAGTAAATGCTGTCTTCTCCACATCCATCGATTTTCAAGTGCTTAGCACGTTGACGTTTGCGTCCTCTATAAACTATCGGCGACTCATAACGTCCCTCGTAGACCTTTTTTTGGCGCTCTGTGAATTTTACCTAATGACTTAGCTACCTTGCGTGAGGTGCCATTCCTATCTTTCTTGATCGCATCGGACGTCACCTCAAACCCTGCATTCAGCAACCGAGGCCAGTTTGAAAAACCAGGACCGACCGCCTTTCAGTGTGACCGCGGTTTTTCAAATTTCATTTTACAGCTTCTGTTTCTGTTTTTTTCTGTTATTTATGTTTTTTCGCGCATATAGAATGAATGGTAGACGCCTATACCAACATAAAGGCGCGTCCCCCTTTTTTCAACAGACTCTTTGTCAACCTCGAGCTTTTATAACTTTTTCCGGTCGCCCTCAAGCAACATTGCCATGCTTCCTAGGAAGGGAAAATCTCTAGTTCTAACAATTGAGGTCGCTCAGGGCGTGGTGAGCTTTTCAAACCCCTTTTTTCGCATATTGTAGGGGCTCATGGAAGGACCTGAAAAGTGTAGCTCAATTTTCGCTGCCGCCGCTTCCAGGAAAGTAAAAAACGAGTGTGAAAAGAAATCTTTTGGAAATGCTTCGCTTGGGGCCCTGCGGCGTACATAGGTCACCTGCAACTTTTGACAAGTTGCTGAGTGGGGGGCCCTATAGTAGGAACTATTTGAATCGAAGCAAAAAAAATCGTCGAAAATGACCTTCCAATTTGGGTCACTTGCTTAAGGGTGAATGGCTCTTTGCAGTGTTGTCCGATTTAGAGCCGTATCGTCAAGGACTGGATGGCCTAGTGGATAGAGTGGGACGATTCGCAATTGGACAGTGAGGCGGGTTGATGGTTCGAATCCCTCGATCTGCGAACTTTTGCGTTTTCTAAGTTCCGCTGTTCTCGCTTCCATTTGTCTGCGCATAAAATATATTTGGTTGTCCGGAAAGTTTCTCAGCGTTTTGCGCACCTATTTTTTTTGCATTCACTGCTGATTTAAAACTCAT